TGGATTGTAAATTAATCTTGGCCACTTTAGCCAACAGGCCTCTCTTTGTAGGTTGGGCACATTCAGGGGGAAACTTGACCAGGAGCCACCATGTCCCAGGAAATGCCTAGAAGTGCTCCTTTTCCTCTCTGTGGGACACCTAGCTGCTTTTCTCATGGGTCTTCTGTGTGTCGCCGATCTCTTTGCTAGTCTGTGTGTTTACTGTATCTACAATGTTCCCTGGCGTTCAAATGCCATTTATGAAGATTGAAACCACCTTGTGCGCTTCATAATTTAAGAACACTATTCCTAATAATTTAGGAAATATCGATAGCTACCGCACTCAAGGAGCTCAACCTTGCCAGTTTATAGTCCCTTCCTTATTCACAATTTAACTCAGTTTTTGTAGTACCGTAAATCCTCTATTAAGTCCCCCCTCTCAAATAAGCCCCCCTTTTCAGAGAAGGATAGTTAATAACCCCCCCCTCTCTATTAAGCCCCCCTTGCCCCCGTTCCCCCTCCCCTCCATCCTTATTCTTCACAAACAATTAACATGTACTGATCAGTTATGGTATATTCAGGCTGGAAATTCATATTGTTTTTGGTCTTCGGCCACATGACCTCCAACTTCACGTGCTTAACTTTTTCAACTTTATGCTCTAGTTCTCTGTGGAGAATTTTTACCATTTTCTTATTGTTTGAAAAACAGTATAGCGCCCGGTAACCACAAGTTCGTCCTCAAGAAACCTTGCTGCTGTTGATGCATTTCAATAAAATAAGCCCCCCTCTCTATTAAGCCCCCCCTCAAAAGTGCTTGGCGAAAATACCCCCAGGGGGCTTGATAGAGGATTTACGGTATATAAGTATTATAGTTCTATAATTTTATGCATTTTCCATATACTATATCATTTATATATACTATATACTATATACTTTTGTATGGTTGCAATTTTATAGACCCTTATTTGCAATTTTACCTAGTTTTCTTACTATGTAAGTTTAATAGTTCTATAATTTTATGCAGTTTCCAATTAATGCTATATCATTTTAAACACTTTTATGTAGTTTCCATGTTTGTTTATTTATCTTTCTTTTCATGACTGACCTGTAAACTGGCTTTATAGCTAAGTGTTAGTCACGTTAATAAAGTATGTTTGTTGGTATGTACGTATGTATGCATGTACCAGTACCGTCCACTGTTTATTTTGGAAAGGTGGACCCACATGGAGGCAGTCGTTAAGTGAAGCCGCCTCGTCATGGACACAAGCCGAGGCGACGTAGACAATACGAAGCATCATATTTTCAATGGTCTCCCTGGTCACATGCTTATAAGGAATATCAGTCTTCATTCTAGAGCGCATTTTTACAACCTACTGATTCAAATAAATCGTTTTTGTGCATCAGTCTGATGCTTTTTTGTGAAGGAATGATTTTGTAAAATAACAAAAATGAAAACAAAATTCATTGCAAGGGCCCGGGATCGAGACATATTACCTTATGATCCCAGTCAATTGTCATGCTCTCAACATGGTGACAAAATTTAACCAAAGTCGGTTGTGCTTCATGATTAATAATTCAACATCTTCTTTGAACGATGTCGATGTAGAAAAGCTGATGAGCCAGCAAATTTTCTGGAAGTCACAGACAGTGATAAAGAGTTAGAGAAAGAACGGCAAGAATGAAGCAAATCGGGCAAACCAAGATCAAAGAAGGCAAGAGCCAAAGCCTAGTGCCAAAACACTCGC